ATTTTAACTTTGTAAACTATAAACTCATGCGTCTCCTCACGGTTTGTCTCAATTTGTGAGCTAAGTTAACTGACATCAACAGTTGTTCGCTCCCCTTTTCCCCTGCTGGCCACGCCCACTCCTGCCCGATGCTCGCGGAGCTCCACGCCCATTAATCATGCATCTTTTTAAAAAATTCTGAAATAGACTTTAACCGAAAGTGTGGGGTGTCATGGCCCTTTAAGATCTGATTTTTAAAAAAAAATCTGTTATTCGCTGTCTGACTAAGATATGTAAAAAATTGGGTATCAGAACAAACAAGAAGCACTAATTTCTATTTTTCCTCGCCATGTCTTTAAAATATGGAAATGAACTTTACCCCAGTATTTTCAATAGAATTTCTGCACTAGCCTCCTGCTAATGACGCCACCTGCGTTTAAATGGTCTTTCGTCTCGTTTTATGCTTTAACAACTAAATGGATGATTAAGTCTATTTAACTGATTATATTTAAATTACATTACAACATCAGTGCTGTAAAAGAAACCTTATGAAATTGAAAATAGTCACATTAAGCTTTGACAGGAAGTTTATCGATGGTTGAAAAACACTAGCTGTGCATATATCCTATTGCACTGTAAAAATCGAGGAGAGAGGAAGCTTCCCGAGGAGGCAAGATACACTGGTGAATCCTTTGTGGAGTTTTATTGAATAAACATGACACGCATGTAAATACTTCTCCCCTTCAGACCCCCGCCAGTAGTTACTTCAGTTGAAAATTCAAAGGCACATTAATGTAAATATTAAGCATAAAGTTATTGTTAATGTGGACTGTTTTCACAGTTTCTTTAATTTTGATGTAACACTTCTAAGCACAAATAAAACAATAATTCATTGTAATAATAAGTAAATTAAAAAAATACAGAAAAACGTGGTTTTGTGGAGGTTGAAACTATTACCATGTAAATAGTAACTAATATTCAAGAATGCTGACATGCAAGCAAGTTCAGAAATTACAGTATTCATTAAATAAAGAATGATGCTTTGAAGCGACTCACAGTAAATGTAGAGGGATTTTTGCCCATCTTCTTTTACTGGTAAAAGCTTGCTCAAACAAGCCACAAAATCAAATTACAATCAAATCAAACATGTACAGGGACACAAAACACTGAAAATGCTATTTGATAACTGCTAGTGATAAATCACCAAACACACATAAGAGAAAAAACCATGTGAGGTACATAGATTACGACCGTATAAATTCTGGTGTGGTTTTAAACAGAATTATAGATTGCAATCATACTTGGTAATCATGTTTTTGAATAGTTACTTTTAGTCCTAACAACTGAAAGTGTAATATTCTTACTCGCGGAAGTAGTAATTGCTGCTTTCCAGTTAAGATAAGTAAGACAATTGTTCAATTTTTCTATTTAAATCTTCTTTATAAAGCACAGTGAAAACACTTTTTTATTTTATTTTTTTGCTTGGGTGGACTTAACCAACAAGCGAGGTAAGCAGCACTTAAAGCCCCAGGAAAACTGAGAGCCGCAATAAATACCTAGAAGTCTAAATTATACCTATAATTATACCTATACAGCATATTTTATCATATGTTGTATGTTAAGGGTCAAAAATAATTGATTTTAACCTATTTATAACATCTTATCATAAATGTGTTCCCCTCCCTTAATTATGGAGGTCTAGCAGTTAAATCAGGTAAAGATTTGGTTTTAAAAACAAAATAGTTTTTCATTTTTATTTGTGAACTCATTTTAACAAAACAAAAATCTTTGTAAAGATATCATAAAACAAATGATTTTCTGGACAGAGTTCGAAATTGTGAATTTTAGACTTCACAAAGTGCCTGATTTGCAAATAACGGAAAAAATGTGTATGAGGGAGGTCAAATTTTTGCCTTTACTAACTGAAGGAAGCAAAATGCCCCTCAACATAAAGATCCTTGATAAAACACAAACCGTTTTTTCTCCAAGCATAATACGTTTTATCAGTCCATGCCGGTTAGAATGAATGATTCTGACAAATTGGTGCGTATACAGAGGTCTCTGGTAGTGTTTGAGCTTTTCTATAGGCGTGTCCAGCCTAGAGAATAACATCGCCGTTAGGGAGGTCCCCAAAGCCATATTGGCCTCCACTTGCACCTATAGAGGGGTCTCTGCCACAGAATTAACTGGTGCGTCCTCCAGCCAGAACATTAAAGCTCTAGTGTTAGCGGCCCAGTAATAATGTTTAAATACTGGCATACCCAAGCCCCCTGCAGACCTAGGCTTTTGAAGATGAATTTTTGACACTCTTATAGTCTTATAGTGTGTCTTATAGTTCCAAATATAAGACATTATTATAGAATCCAACTCTTCGAAATAAGCTGCGGTTGAGGAAAAAAGGAAAGTTTTGACAAAGATATAAAAATCTAAGGAGAGAAACCATTTTAATTGAATTTATGGGACCAATCATAGACAGGGGTAAAATCTTCCAGTTATTAATATTATTTTTAAGATTCGAAAGAAATTCTACAAAGTTTAATTGAAATATTGATTTGAAATCTTTAGGGATTGTCAGCCCAAGATAAGTGAAATTATCATTAACTATTTTAAATGCAATATTTTCAAGGAAGTCAGGGTCATGAATGTCAGAAAGGGGGATGAATATACTTTTGGACAGATTGATTGTATATCCTGATATTTTTCCAAAAGAAGTGATAAGATTCAAAAGAGTTGGGACTGAATGCTCAGAGTTTGACAGATACAGTATAATGTCATCTGCATAAAGGCTAATCAGAACTTCTCTGTTTCCCACTTGAAGGCCTGTAATTTCTTTGTGGCGTCTTATGCTTAGGGCAAGGGGCTCAATCGCAATAGCGAAAAGGGCAAGAGAGAGAGGGCAACCCTGTTGTACTGATCGGCATAAAGGAAATTTAGGTGATCTGTCTGTAGTTAAAACTGAACACAGGCTTGTATATTAATCTAACCCATGACATAAACGTTTGACCAAATCCAAACCTTTGCAATGATTCATATAAATAACGCCATTCAACTTGATCAAAAGCTTTTTGTTCGTCCAAAGATAAAATTCCCGCCCCTTTTGTTTTTGCATGATTGGCATGTATTGTATTAAGAAGGCGACGTACATTAAAGAAAGAGAATCTTCCAGGGATAAATCCAGTCTGGTCGGGATGAATGATGGATGATAAATGTTTATTAAGTCGCATGGCTAACACTTTAGTGATCACTTTTCTATCAAAATTTTGTAGCGCAATTGGCCTATAACTGGCTGGGTCAGTTTCATCTTTGTTTTTCTTTAAAATAAGAGAAATGTTAGCTTCGTATATAGTACTGGGCAAAATATCATCTTTTTTGTAACTATGTATCATCCTAAGGAGCAGAGGGGAGAGAACATTACTAAATTTCTTGTAAAACTCAGGGCCGAATCCATCTGGCCCTGCCGCTTTTCCAGATGGAAATGACTTTATGGCAGCATCTATCTCCTCCTTGGTAAAATCAGTCTAAGTCTGCCCTTGCATTGTCACTAAGTTTAGGCATATCAATAGATTCAAAAAAGTTTAATAAATCAGTATCGGTGTACATGTTATTGGATGTATAAAGCTCCCTGTAGAATTCTTCGAAGCGGGCATTGATATTACTGGGATTAACTAAAAGGGTGCCGTCTTTGGACTTAATACTATGGATGGACCTGGAAGCTTGAATTCCTTTAAGCTGACGTGCTAAAAGCTTATCAGGCTTATCCCCTGTTTCAAAATATCGTTGCTTCATTTTTAAATAAAGACTGTTTATTTGATGACCCAGAATACAACTATATTCATATTTAAGTTTTATTATTTTATTATAATCTTCAGGCAACTTCGACGTTTGATATTCCAATTCGTGAGTAGGAAGAATACTTTGTATTTCCTTAAGTCGTTTCTCTCTTTCCCTTTTAGAAACAGATTCATAAGAAATAGCATACCCGCGTATGACTGCTTTTAAGGTTTTCCACAGTGTGGAGTCGACCATTATCATTATCAAGACCTCCCCATTATCATTGCTTTCTATAAAGTCTTTTAGTTTAGTATCAATGTGTTCTATGAATTTCTCTTGCTTTAATAAATATGGATTGAGATGCCAGGAGTAACATTGTTTAGGAAGAGAGAGATTGATAGACATGGTAAGGGGACTGTGATCTGAAATCAATATATTGTGGTATTTGGTATCGTTAACTTGTGGAATTAGCGAGAATCAATCAAAAAGTAATCTATTCTACTGTACGATTTATGAACATGCGAGTAATAAGAGCAGTCTCTATCAGTAGGGTGTTGGATTCTCCATATGTCAACCATGTTCCTTGATTTAATCAAATTGTTTAAAACCTGTACTGATGCAATTTTAGGAGGGGGTCTGAGAGATAACCTGCCAAGTAAGGGTGTAAATAGCAATTTAGATCCCCTCCAATAATTACATTATCGTTATCTTCATTCGGGAGCAGGTCAAAAACCTTCTTATAAAAGTTTGGGTTGTCACATCTTGCAAGCTTGACTCAGACATCTCCTTACTTATTTCTTTACATAAGGCATAAGCGGTGTCTGGTAGTATTTCAGACTTTTTAGGTGAATTGTTAGCCTTAGCATTAGCTCCGGCGACGTCGTAGGCGACTTTTCCTTTGTGCGAGGCACTCAGTTTTGGCATTTTCAAAGCTTTAGCAGAAGTTTGTGATGTAAGAAAAGCGTAAACACAACTAAAAGTATTAAAGTCGAAAAAAAACACGGTAATTTAATAACTTAATTGAGGCCACAGAGAGGAGCCCTAAAAAACGTGTCTATCCCCGAGACATGCGCACTAGCGATTTGTGGATTGTTTGAGGTGTTTTACTAGTAGTATAATGTGAGCAAAATGCCTCATGAGATGAGAGATGAGTTTAGCGTGTAACTATTGTAAATGGCCTGCAGGCCAGCAGTTTGAGACCCCTGTGTAACAGGAAATTTAAAAACCTTGTATTTTTTCTGTTTCTACAGTCTGCCTTACTTCATCTGTGTGTTTGCACTGCTGGTTAACAAAGGTGAGCAATTTTATACACATATAGGTGTGTGAAAAATAATAAAAATTAAATTATAAAAATTAAATGAACATTGTCATTGCCAATGCGTTTTTGAATTTACCTCAATCATTTGACGTGAACCCAGACATGTTGTCCAGTTAGAACACAGCCACACTGTGCACAGAGTTTCAGAAAAAAAAAATCTTTACCCAGGCCGAAGTTTTTATAAAGCATTGGTCACCTAATGCTGTTTTTTCACTAAGCAGCCAAACCGCAGATGTCAGATTTTTTTTTAATATAAAAATCTCACAGCCCCCTTTCGGTCCAGTTGCTATAATTAAATACATCAATCATGACATAACAAAGATTTAGGGGTTTGCATAAAATGACATCGACTACATTTCTTTTTTTAATTATCAGATTTATCAACTGATTTCTGAGAACAGATCAAATTACCTTTGATGCATTCACATTTACAGTCTCCGCTAAATGGATATGAATTCCAATCATGGCAGGCTGTTTTTCAAAGGACATTTTTAAGTCCTCAAACATGGCACAGCACAAAACGTGGTTAGTTGCTTAACTTATTAGTCTTACAAAGTATTGGATGGTGATTGACCATTCAAAGTGGCCAAAGTTCCCACACCTTCAGCCATCAGTGTGAGGTCTAGCTACACGAGACTAAAGGCAACCTCCTGATAAAGCTGGTCAGGATTTTATTAAAAAAAAGTCATTCACCATACTTCTGTACAGCACTTCTTCCAACACACCCCATATTCATATTTACAGGATTGTCTAATCCTATATTGCCTTGAAATGAAAATAAATCAAATGAATGTTAAATAGTTTTTTTAGGTATGTTTTAAATACTGTTAGTTTGTGTTTCAAATTTGAATAAAACTGTTGGAGCATTACATGTATTTGGACTTTTGATTACTTTTTTAATGTCATTTCAGCATCTCTTCAGCTAGCCACAGTAGAAGGTGTTATTGGTGGTTCTGCTCTCTGCCCTGTTCCTCAACTAAAGATGCAAGCAAGCAAGACATTAATGTTCATTGGAGAGATGGTAGTGGTAAAACTGTGTTTGACTTAATCAAGGGCGAAGCTTCAATGGAGCAGGATCAATGGTACAAGAACAGAACTGAATCTTTCCCTCAGGAACATCTGAGAAGAAACTTCTCCATTAAACTCAACAAACTTCAGCACAATGATGCAGGAAAATACATCTGCTACATCTCACACTCATCTGAACAACCAGCTGTACGACTGATCATCAACGGTGTGTAAAAACCTCATCATGAATATATTACAAGTTTTTATTATAAATTTTTATTGTTGAAGTTTGTCTTAATATACTGTAGATGTACATGTACATGTACATTATGTACATTATAGATGGATCTGTTATCACTGTAGTGATGCTGTTGTAGATTTTTTACTGTTAACTATTATTATTTATCTATTACAGAATCAAATACAGAAAATGGAAACAAACCAAGTAAACCAGATGACAAAAGAGAAGAGACAGCATCAGAAATGGAATTATCAACACTTTTACTCTGGGTTTTCATTCCGTTAGCTATATTAATTAGTTTAGGGGTTATCATTGTTTTAATTATTTACAGAAAGAAAATACAATCTGCCTTCTCTCCTGTCACAACTGAAAACACGGGTGACACTGACTAATGAAAAGCAGGACAAGAAACTTAACTTTTGTTACATTCCTTTTTTTACTGAATTGTTACAGCTTTGGCTATTTTTGGTGTGAAAGACACTGAATCTCAAATCACTAATAACTGCTTTGATTTTTTGCAGGGATGTACATAATTAGTGTGTAGTTCAATCCGCTTTTTTGCCTACCCATATGGTGGATGGATGTTAATGAAAAATCACTGTTTTAGATCAACTATCTGTATCATTGAAGTATACTCTCTGAATCGTGAAGTTCCAAATAAGCAGGTATATGATTACTACTTTGTCAACCAGATATCTCCATCTAAAGCTTTTCTACATAGTTTCTACACTCTAAAAGAGACGCTTTTTTTTTAAATCACATAACTGCCTAGTGTATAGCAGCTTTGCAGCCGATGTTTTACATTGCTTTTATATGCAGCTTTTAATGGCCAAAGTTGTATTTATAACAATTCCAAGGCAGCATCAGTAATAACAAACTGAGACAATGGTAGCTCTAGCAACACTAGCTTTTAGCCATTAAACTACTTCAGAAAGGCAATTTGCAAAGCAAAATATGCTAAAGAAAGATTTCTGTGAGCTCAAGAAAGATTTCTGTGAGCTCTTGGAAACAGTTGAAAGATTGAAGGTTCAGCCATTCATAAGTGGACCACTCCCTGCAAGAGGGACAAATATATTTTCATGGCTTCTTGGTCTAAATGTATGGCTACAGAAAACATGTAACATGAAAAGACTGAATTTCATCGACAACTTCAATCTATTCTGGAACCAAAGACAGCTGTTTACATCAGACGGCCTTCATCCAAACAAACTTGGTGCAAAGGTGTTAAAGGACAATATTTTTTTCTCCCTCAATCATCCATCAGCTGTGTATGCCACTGAACTGAATTGCAAACACACACCTAGCAAATGTCCGGATGACCACAGGACCTCAAATCAGCTCCTGAGTGGACTTGTCGCTGACGAATCACCCAAGGACAGTGATAATGCCACGCAGCCAAAACACCCAATGTTGATAGAGACACTATCAGTTGTCCTCTGCTCAACACAGGCAGACTGTGACACATCAGAACAGCATCAAGTCTAGTCACTCAAAAATGATCCTCAGGAAAACATATTTCTGCAGACAGAATCTCCAGATGCACAGCCTCTGTCACCGGACACGTTCTCATTATCACAATGTTCACCACTCTTGGGGTTTTCAAAAAAGATGGAGGAACTGGTGTATGCTGGAACTAACCTTTCACACTCCATTGCCGCAAGCCCCCAGTTACCAACCAAAAAGCGGCCTGCTCCACAACCACCTATAAGCCCACCTGGAAGAGCCCTCCGATTTTTGCCACACCGCCAGGGCCCAAGCAACAACGCCCCATCTTCAGCTGGTGAACACAAGAGCTCTCTGTGATGTGTGTCGGGGACCTGCTTAGATAACAGTGTCTTTATCAAATGTTTTCAGAACAAGCAGGAACCCAGTGTGTCTGTAGCTTTCTCTAAGCAGATATGTGTTGTGTTAAGTGACAGAAAACCAAAGACTTCATCAGGCCATATAGCAAATCATTCAAATCTGGTGTCTATTAAATGTAGATCTGAGACTAGCTATAGAAAAAACAGCTAAAACTGTTAAGTTAGCGCTTTTAAACATCAGATTACTCAACAATAAGTCTCTTTTAGTCAATGATTTTATCAACACAAATTGCCTTGATTTTATGCTTTTAAATGAAACTTGGCTAGATGATAGTTGTAGCGCAGCAGTTCTGAATGAAGCAGCTCCTTTAAACTTTGACTTTTTGAGTGTTTGCAGAGTTAATAGGAGAGGTGGAGGTATCGCTGCCCTGTTTAAAAATGTCTATGAGTGTAAACAAGTGTCATTTGGTGACTATTTGTCTTTTGAATATCTGAGTATAGCACTAAAAGGTGCTCCACGCATCTTACTGATCATTATCTACAGACCTTCAAAATATTCTCCAGCTTTTATTGAGGATTTCACAGAGCTGTTATCAATTGTAACCTCTGAATTTGATTATTTAAGTATTGCTGGGGAATTTAATATTCACATTTATAATCCAGAAATCAATGCTGTAAAAGAACTGATGACTGTTTTTAACACTTTTGATCTGACTCAGCATGTTCAAGGACCCACACACAATCGTGGACACACCCTTGATCTACTTATAACCAAGGGTTTACACATTTCATCGACTGTTGTTAAGGATGTGGCACTATCTGATCATTTCCGTATCTTCTTTGATATATTGATCACTCCAGCTATTAAAGACAGATCTGTCTCTGTCAGAAAGAGATGCATAAATGAGAACACTAGTGAGCAGTTTATAAAGACCATATCGCTAGCACCAAGCATATCTGCAGATTCTGTTGATTCTCTCCTTGATTTGTTTAATTCTAAAATTGAGAATGTCTTAAATGACATCGCTCCTGTTAAAGTCAAGAAGATGACTGGCAGGCAAAAGGGATCTTGGACAAGGTCACCAAGAGTACAAATGATGAAAAGACAGTGCAGAAAAGCTGAGCGTATGTGGAGAAAGACAAAACTAGTAGTCCATTATAATATCTATAAAGACAGTCTTCATGCCTTTAATATGGAACTAAACACTGCTAGACAGACTTTCTTTTCAAGCCTTATAAACAGCAACTTAAATAATGCTCGTACACTCTTTGCAACGATAGAGAGACTCAGAAACCCCCCCAGTAGGATTCCAAGTGAGCTCCTCTCTGAAAGCAAATGTAATGAGTTTGCTCATTTCTTCACTGATAAGATCAATAATATCAGAAAGGCAATCAGCTCATCCAATCAGCCAAGTTGTGTCGATATCAAACAAGCTCAACCACAACTTAAGAAATCAGACATTATGTCTGATTTCATGGCGATTAACGGTAAAATCTTAGAAGAGATTGTGCAAGTTATGAAAACATCAACCTGCAGTCTTAACACACCCCATATCATTCTGCAAAACGATGTTTACCTGTTTAGAAATGGATCTTCTAAAAGTGGTAAATGCTTCACTTCTATCAGGGATTTTTCCAAACTCACTTAAAACTGCAGTTGTTAAACCCCTCTTGAAGAAGAGCAACCTGGATAACACCCTATTGAGCAATTACAAGCCAATCTCAAATCTCCCTTTCATTGGCAAAATCATTGAAAAAGTTGTTTTTAACCAGGCTAACAAGTTTTTAAACTTAAAGGGGTATTTAGACAATTTTCAATCTGGGTTCAGAGCACATCACAGTACAGAGAGTGCTCTTATAAAGATAATCAATGATATACGCCTAAATACAGATTGAGGTAAAATAACAGTGCTGGTACTGCTCGATCTCAGTGCTGCATTTGACACTGTCAATCACAGCATACTTCTGGATAGGCTGGAAAACTGGGTTGGGCTATCTAGCACGGTCCTCAAATGGTTTAGATCTTACCTTGAAGGTAGAGGTTACCATGTCAGTATAGGTGACAATAGGTCGAGGTGGACACCCATGACGTGTGGAGTCCCACAAGGCTCGATTCTGGCACCTCTCCTGTTCAACCTTTACATGCTCCCCCTGAGCCAAATAATGAGAAAGAACCAAATCTCCTACCACAGCTATGCTGATGACACTCAGATCTACTTAGCCTTACTGCCTAATGACTACAGCCCCATTGACACCCTCTGCCCATGCATTGATGAAATTAACAATTAGATGTGCCAAAACTTTCATCAGTTAAACAAAGAGAAAACTGAAATGATTGTGTTTGGGAACAGAGATGAGGTTCTCAAGGTAAATGCGTACCTTGGCACTAAAGGTCAAACGACAAAAAATAAGGTCAAGAATCTTGGTGTGACTCTGGAGTCAGATCTGAGTTTCAATAGTCATGTCAAAGCAGTCAGTAAATCAGCATACTATCATCTCAAAAACATAGCAAGAATCAGATGTTTCGTTTCTAGTGAAGATTTAGAAAAACTTGTTCATGCTTTTATCAGCAGCAGGGTGGATTACTGTAATGGACTCCTCACTGGTATTCCTAAAAAGACAGTCAGACAGTTACAGCTCATCCAGAATGCTGCAGCCAGAATTCTAACCAGAACCAGAAAATCAGAGCACATCACACCTATCCTTAGGTCTTTACACTGGCTGCCAGTTACATTCAGAATAGATTTTAAAGTATTATTACTAGTCTATAAATCACTAAATGGCCTAGGACCTAAATACATCACAGATATGCTCACTGAATACAAACCTAACAGATCACTCAGATCTTTAGGATCATATAAACTAGAAGTTCTTAGCTTCCAGAAATGATCAGATGTGCTCCGACATTAGGCACATTCAAATCAAGACTGAAAACACATCTATTTAGCTGTGCCTTTACTGAATGAGCACTGTGCTGTGTCCGACTGATTGCACTATCATGTTTTTCTCTTCTTCATTCTTTTATATCACATTTTACCTGTTTTTATGTTTTGTTTTGTTTTTACGCATTTTTATTATTTGTTTTTATTTTTATTTTACTTGTTTCTTTTATTCTCGTTTATGTAAAGCACTTTGAATTGCCACTGTGTATGAAATGTGCTATATAAATAAACTTGCCTTGCCTTGCCTAAATGCATGGTACTAACTTTGTTTGGATGAAATGTTGGTCCTGATCTTACATAAATAGCCTTAATGGTTTTTATTTTCTGGAACATTTCAAAAACAACAATTGTCTTAATCATGCTCAAGTGATGATAAAATATATTGCCACTTTGTCCTTCTGATGCCTCTATGGCACTGATGCAAAGATTTTAAATCATGGTTTGTTTTTAAAATTGTTCATACACAGATTTCACTGGCCATTTTGTGCCTAGACATTAATAAATGAGACCTAGTGGAAAGGAGGAATGAGCTGCCTGTGTGTTAGTGCCTTGATTCTGTACATTAGGGCTGTACAATATTTTTTGTTTCATTGTATATATTGATGTGCATTATAATCACATCACAGAATGTGCAATGTCAAGTAGGGATAATGGTTTAGAACATGTGGATAATTTTGTGGATAAAGTTCAAACAATGGAGTGGAAGTTTAATAAATGCATGTGTTTTAAGGCCTGTAGCTGTGTAAGCATTTCAGGCGAGTTAAAAGCTTTTATGTGTGAGAATAATGATGGTTGATTATTGTTGTGCACTGCCATTTAACATTTAATTATTACATTTCAATTCATGTGTACTGATAGTCTCAAAAACGTAAAGCAGAGGATCTTTATTTGCTTGATTACAGTGTAATGAAGTTTAAATTTCAAGCTATATACAAGCTTCATATTATTGCAAACGATGAAGTTTATTAAAATTAGAGGATGTAAATAAATAATCATGGTGAATTATTTTGTGTTGATTTTCTTGTGGTTTAAAAATCTAGCAAATTAAGCAACCATAATAGCAAAATATACTTTTGCTGTAAAATCTTTGTAACGTTATTTCACGTTCATTTGTAAGTCGCTTTGGATAAAAGCGTCTGCTAAATGACTAAATGTAAATGTTATATGTAGCAAGTAAATATTTTCTGATTTAAAGCAAAAAAAAAAAAAAACTTGCTGAGCAAACTCATGTATTTGCTGCAGGGCTTTTGGTAATTAATTTAAATAAATGTAATCAAATAATTTAAATTGAATATATCAATAAAAAAGGTGGTAATTGAATTGGTTGCAATTAAAATTTATGCCTAGATAGATGTTTACTTGTCTTATAAAGTTCTTTTTTATGTGTGCTCAAGTTTAGCTTTAGCTAGGAGTAACCAATCCAATCCAATTATTTCATAGTTTAAAGTCACTTTATTCCTCCTACGATAACGTCTCCATTATAAACATTTTTACTTTGTGTCAGCAGAAGTATGACATATCATGAACAGTTATTTGTAAACAGACCCGAAGACTCACGCCATGGGTGACTGTATACATAGATCACTAAAGATTGCAGATTTTTATTAGGTCACTATTAAGACCATCAGCCAAGGCTGATAAAAATATTTTAACTTTGGTTTTGAGCATGGCACCAAATGTCCTGACCATCAAAATAGATTTCGGCAGAAGATGTGGAATTGTGGAAACTGACTTATGGCATTCAAAAACATGCTATTTCAATGAGTTTCAAGCATACACACACTGCAGCTGAATTGCTTAGAAGCCGTTTCTGTCACTGAATAAAAAAAGGGATATTGCATATTTTTTTGTCTCAGAATTGTAAGTTATAAACTCAGAATTGAGACAAATTTCTAAAATAAAAAAGTTGCCAATGCGAGTTTTTAAAATCAGAATTCATTTCAATTGAAAGGATAAAGTGTGGGAATGGAATGATCATTCCTCCAGCGAGGAACATTGAACAAAAAGGTTTTGGAAATTAAATTATAGCCTTTATTGCGATAACACCACAAGACAGTGCTCACTTCTCGACTGCAGGCTCCTAAAGGGATGTACACCTTCAGGAGCAGGTGAAGGGAACAGGGTGCATTGCCATTGTCTGTTCTGTACGAAAACATCAATGGTTTAATCTTGAAACAAGCTTCAACTGGTAACCAATGCAAAGAAACCATGTGGAGTGTGTGGAGTTGCAAGCAAGATGAGAAGTTCAGTTTTTGCCAGATTAAGCTGTAGATGATGGTTTTTCATCCAAGCTGGGATATCCTCCACGCAGTGTGAGACATCACCGTCGGGACATCAGGATGAAATGAAGCATAGTGTGTCGTCGGCATAACAATGATAACAGAAAACGTCATTGGATGATAGTTCCCAGTGATGTAGTGTAAATAGAGAATAGAAGGGGACCAAGAACAGATCACTGAGGTACAGTATCTCAGTGACTACTAATGAACCATTGCCAGTAATAAAGGCAGAATTCTGACTGACAATTGTGAGAAATGCTGTAAAGTCAAATTTATCTCAGAGTTGAAAATTTTTATCTCAGAATTCTGACTTTATAACTCACAATTTGTATCTTTCAAGCAAACTAGAAGTTGTTTATGAGCAGTGGCATCTGCCAAGAAGGCTGTAATGGACCCACAAATTTTGTAGGGTCGGTTACTGTGATTTTGATCTAATTTGATGGTACCATACACAGTGTCCATGATGAAAGAACAGAAACCATTGCAATTTTAAACAGCTCATTGGTTGAAGTAACCCAATTAAATGGAGGCAGATGGGGAAAACACCATTGTTGTCACAGACAGTTGTCTACATTTGAACAAATGTGTACATCACAACTTGACCAATTGGGCACAGCACTTGTAAGCTGTGTGAAATTATTCATTTTGTGAATAGCTTTGCTTTCAAAGATCAACAAACAGGCCGGAACAAAGTTTGCTGATGAAAAGATTGAATTCAAAGTTGTGAAAAATGTGCTCCGTCTCAATTGCCATGATGACAGATATTCTGTCATGGAATGTGACGCTGACAAAGGAAGTGTGGATCCAAATGCAGCTTTATTAGAGAGGTCAGGTAAGCAATAGTCAACACAGGGGCAAACAGATGTATGCAGGCAATCCAAAGTTGTAGTCAAATACACAGGCAGATGCGGCAGGCAGCACACGGGAATAAACAAATAAACAAGGCAAGGGTCAAAACACAGCAAAATAAAGGAAACATGTAACAAATACAGTAAACAAAACTCAGCAACAGTGTCTGTGTTTGTGCTGCTTAGTCCTTGTAATCAGTCTTTGACAATCCTCTAGTTGTGTGTATGCAATCAGTCAGGATTAGGAACTGTGTGTGTGTGTGTGTGGTGCATGACAGCATCTTGTAATCCATGAAATGACAGATGTGTAGTCCGTTGGCGATCCGTGTGTATACCAGCGATCTGCACATACTGGATCGCTGGTGACTGTGACATGTTCAGTGTGTGATGTAGTTGTATTGTTTATTAGTAGATCTGAGGCCACATATATATTCTAAATGTTTTGGATATTCTGTGTTGCAATTTAGAAAAAAGGTTAGATGATGTTATCTCGGGTAAGTTCATATTAGAGTATTGTGTTGTGGGTTTTTGTGATTTTATATGCAGATGCATGCAAAAAGATTGGAAAAATGAAGAGAGTAAAACTGAACTGTTATGTCCGAGTGATTATACAATCAGTTTACAATGCAAACTGTGTAAATAGTTGTGGAATTTGCACAATTTTACTGAAGCAATTAATTAATTAATTGAAACTGAACACAGTGCTCATATAGTCAAATTAACTCTTTAGATTGTTTGCTAAAAATGTCAAGCTTCAAGTTTTGATTAGTAATTTAATGTAAGCCCATTTTCTTTTATACTTAGGATGCCCCTTATTGTGTGTGTTTTTTTTTTTTTTGTTGTTGTTGTTGTTTTTTTTAATGCAAAAGATAATGTTTTAAAATTAGGATTTAGTTTTTAAAATGCACATTTTAATGAATCCCATTCTGTTCCTGTTTGACTATAAAAGATTAAATTTGGTTGGTGAAGTTGGTTGTTTTAAAACACAACAATTTTATCTCAAGAATTTGGTTTTGGTTAATTTTTCATCTAAGTTAAAATACAAGAAAAAATATTTCTAATGATCTCTTTGAATTGTAAAAATGTATTTGTGAATTTTTTAAAGGGAAAAGGATGAACTGTTGTCAATTTTAATTAAAATAGCAAGAATTAATAAAATAAGTGACTTAATCAGTGACTTACATGGATATAAGATGGAGGATTCCTCTTAACTCCTCTGGGAAATCACTGTATTATGCATCCTGAATGAGTGAAAACAATATTCTCATGTACTCCAGAATATATGCATAATCTGTAATGCAGATGGAAAGAAATGCAGAGAAGGTTTAAGGTACAAGGAAATACACTCCCATGTACACAGGGAGGTCATTTGCATCTTAAATTTGTATTAATAGCAGCAGCAGTAGAACAGAAAACAGCACATACTCTCTTGTAAAAAATAAGTAAATAAATGAATAAATACTTGTATTAATAACAATATAAATCTAAACAAGAAGAAACCATACAGGCTGACAATTGATAATTACCTGAACTTAGATTTTGTGTTTTTAAGATATTTATTATTCCAGAAAGAGCTGCTGCATAGTCTCTCTGTCTTTCATTTTCATTCAGGTGAACTGAACAAGTGCTGTAAACAGATGGAAATATACTGGCATTGGTGACACAAAAACCGGAGGAGCAGGTCAAGGAGCATTGTCTCTTTAAATGCACAGTCAGGTTGCAGCTTCATTTTATCACCATAAAACCTTGAAATGAATGCAGATATTGTCATAAAAATGTTTCTTATTCTTTCTGTGAGAAACTGAAAATTAATTCCAAAGGTTTAAACTTTCTGCTTTATTTCTTGATATGCATTTGATGTGTGTTATTGCTGAGTTTTAATAATAATAGTTATTATTATTATTATTAATATTATTATTATTATTATTATCAATGTTTAAGCTGAAGTAGCTGAAGTATTGCTGGTCACATTTTAAAACTCATAACTGTACTGGTACCAAATTGAAGTTAATCGTTGCTACCATCTAGAGGCTGTAATAGACTAAATTCTTTCCATTCCTACACAGAGGCACATTTGTACTTTTATCTTAATGGGGACTTCCCACAGACGTCATTTATTTTTATACTTTACAGACTGCTTATTCCAATCCACTACCACAATCCTTATTTCTGTGTGGTTTATGAGCAAAATGTCCCTGTCAAAAACTTGCTATATTTGTATATTCAGTTTTTAATGTAAGGTTGGACAACTGCTTTACAATACGAATATAAAAACAACACCATTAAAGTTATGCAAACTTGCATGAGTATATTCTTACCAATAGCCAAAAATAACTTTTATTGGTCAAAACTATTGATTTTTCTTTTATGCCAAAATCATTAGAATATTAAATAAAAAAGCATGTTCTGTGAAGGTATTGTGTAAATTCCCGTAATTCTGTAAATTAGTTTTTAATTAGTAGTTTTAATTAAGTTTTGTGGTACATGGTCACACATTTGTATAGCTGGTATAACAAAATAAACATAACTTTATAAATAATGTGATGGTATGTTTGTCGGTATGTGTTGGAAAAAAAGTGTGCACAGTGTGGTGAGAGCTAACTTGACTTCCTCCAATGTGAGAGAAGTTTTTTCTTTGCTTCAAGCTTCTAGTAGACTTGTAGAAGGAGAGGATTCAATATATTTATGTCTGTTTAGTTCACTGCAACAGCATGAAGATTCTTCAACTCCAACTCTGTGAGTTTATTATATTTTGTTCACATTACTCTGTCAGATGTTGGTAATGTTATTCTCAGAATGGTTTTGTCTGTAATCTTGATTATAATGTTTTTCTATATTTATGCCCTCTAGATGTAATAATCTGTAGTCAAGCTACAGTGTCTTGTCTGTTAACTGATGTGGGATCAAATGTGAGCATAAAATGTGATCTTGATGAAAATGAAGTTTACTGGATTTTACTCAAAACTCCAGATCCTCCAACAGTGATTCTACGATCACTCTCAACACCAACACCACCTTTTTACTCAAATAAATCATTCAGAAGTAAATATTCAGTGCAATTTAAACATCGTCTGGTTATTAATAACATCACTGCTAATGAATTAGGAGTTTATTACTGTACCACAGGCACACAGCCAAAATTCAGCAACAGCACCAGATTATACATCATCGGTGAGTGAAGTTGATCATTCATAAACATGTTAACTTGTTATTACATGTGGCATATTTTAAGTTTAGCAAAATCACAGCCATTATACCTTACACACATTATACACTTTCTTTTTCAGAACCAACTCAATCAAGTGAGTTTCACAATAACACAGAGTGTGAGCAGAATTCTAATTGTACTGAGCAGAATCAGACAAATTGGCAGACATTTTTCTTTATATCCAGTGTAATGAATGGGTTTCTAGTTCTGGTGGTGGTCGGTGAGTTTTTTATTTATTTTTTTTATTTAGACTATCATTGTTATTTTGCCATTATTGGGACATGCATATTAGAATAAATATACAATAATAAATCTGAATTCACTGTTTCATTTTCAGGACTAATAAAGTGTTTTGTTGTTGGAAACAGAAGTTCAGCAGAGCAATCACAATTCAGGACTGATCTACCACAGACACAAGTAATAGAACAACAACAGGACCCAGATCAATTACAGGTATAACTATTCATTTTAACTCAAACTGTACTAATTCAACTCCAGCTGAAAATGTTAATATTGTTCTTTCAGTATGCCACAATGGACTTTTCCAAGTTTCATAAAAAAATGCGCTCCAGCCAACTCAACACCACCTACGCTGCTCTAAACCTGCCAAAATCATAAATGCAAAAGTAGGACTGATCTCATGTTATTTGTTCACTTTCTCTTGATGTACATCTCTGACTTTTCTAACCACAAACTTTTTGGCAGCTAAACACTCCAAACATTAACAAGTCAAACATTATTTAGATAATAAAATAAATTAGTTTATATTAATTTAATTAATATAAGATTGGGTTGTTATTTCATTTTGCTGTCTGAAAACCAGTTGAAAATCCCCATTGTAATTAGTTATGTAAGTTTATAAATGTAACAGTGGAATAAACAGAAAAAGGTTTTTACCTACAATTTGGGGTCTGTGGCATTGTAAAAAAATCCCATGCTCAAGCACGTTTTGTTTACAAGTTTCGTTTTTAAGTTATAGTTCTCATTTTTTCTTACTGTGTTTTTAAAAAAAATATGCTATTGTCAGCTATTGTTAATTGATTAAAGAAATTGTTGATATTTCCTTTTAACCATTTTATTTTATCTTGATAAAAAATAATTTCATATAATTGAAAATTTGCGTATGAATCTTCGGACTGAATACTTTTCGGTCTGTATTCTACTCAGTGCTGTTACACTGAGATAATTATATATTTTATTTCTTTACATGTAAGATTGTGTTTATGTAATGCTTTTAGAAATTAAACTGTAGATGCATTGGTTAAATGACCATACTGTAATTTTTTAGTCTGCAAAATGTTTAATAGTTTGTTTAATGATTTAGTCTTTTGTTGTTGTTGTTGTTTAGATTTTATTTAGTTTAGATTCAACTTTATTGTTATCACACCTGTACAAGTACAAGGCAACAAAATGCAGTTTAGGTCTAACCAGAAGTTGTTGTTGGCTGTTATTGCCTCTGTTTTTAAGTTTTGTAAGCAAGAGATAGTTGTGCAAGTAAATAAATGGCATACAGTTTTCTAAATACAAATACAATGTCTTTTTGTTTTGGTTTTGGACTCTGTTATTTGTAATTATTACTTCTTTTAACTAAGTATTATGTTTAAAATTTTTGTTGTGGATGAAATTAATTCAGTTAATCACATAATGGATGTCACCCAAAAACAAGAACTGTAAGTATGTTACACAGTATTCAAAAAACAAAATTCATTTAGGAAAAATTCTGTATGTTCTTCCAATGTTTCAATGGATGCAGTAACAAATGCAGAAGCAGATAAAAATGTACGTCATTGATGTAAATGATGCATGTTGAAAAAATGAAAAAAAGTCACAAAACATTTTAGTTTAATTTAGTTACGTTAAATTGTATTGCAGATTAAACTGGTCAAATTATTTTGAAGCTAATGATCTATGGGTAATGTCACATCAACTTTTTTTTTTTTTTTTTTTTTTACATTGTTTAGCTGCACATCTGTTTATTTATATGCACTTCTGTTTGTGTTTTACCTGTTATTACCTGATATCAGTCCATTGTGCATTTAATTCCCTCAGATTCATTGTCCAGTGTAAGGTCAATTGTATGTAACACCTTAAAATGACAACATTAAAGAAAAAATAAAATATAAATTAAAAATACATGTACTTTAGTAATATCCACATCAAAATTAATTAAAAAAGTTAAATATTTTTTTGTTTTATACACACTCAGGCACACATACACATATACATGTACAGTAAGTGTATAATGTGAAAACATGTGTGCATGTACAGTACATGCACAAATGCTTATAGTGTAAACGGTGCCAGCCCATGCTCACTGCACTGTGTGGTTAAACTGAAATGCTCAACTGAAACCATAGATATGTTCCACTGGCTTTGGCACGACCAATGACAAACAGGGTCACTTACCTTTGTATAGAGTGGGGGTTTAACCTTAAACTACTGCAAACATGTTCCTCTAGCCTCATGCATTGATGTACTTCAGTTCTCACAGTTGTCGTAACCTCAAATGGAAACAGAGCAGCCTAGGCATTGCATTTCATCATCAATATAAATCTTAACATTTATCAATGGTTGTCATGTGATGTGATTTGCTTTGGCTGTCAAAATGTTCACATTATAAAAAATGGTGTCAAAACCTCTTTTGTTTCCTTCTTCTTTCCTCGGGCTGTAAAATAGATTCACATTGAATAAGTTTCAGTTGTTATAAATGAATGTTCACCTGTCAACAGCCTAAAACTGATAAATACTTTTAGAAAAAACAAATATAAAATAAGCAATGACATTCATGCTTTAAATATCAGATGTATTACTTTAAACTTACACAATACATGCACCGGCCACTTTATTAGGTATGCATGCCCAACTGCTCAGTAATGCAAATTTCTAATCAGCCATCACATGTGATCACCAAAATTGGACAATACAAAATTGGAACAACATTGCCTGGTCTGTTAAGTCTTGATTTCTGCTGCAACATTTGGATGGTGGGTCAGAATTTGGCATCAACAATATGAAAGCATGGATCCATCCTGCCTTGTAACAACGGTTCAGGCTGCTGTTGGTGGTGTAATGGTGTGGGGGATATTTTCTTGGCACACTTCGGGCCCATTAGTACCAATTGAGCATTGTGTCAACACCACAGCCTACCTGTGTATTGTTGCTGACCATGTCCATACCTTTATGACCACAAGGTACCCATCTTCTGATGGCTTTTTCCAGCAGGATAACATGCGTATAAAGTGTGAATCATCTCAGACTGGTTTTATAAACATGACAATAAGTTCACTGTACTCAAATATCCTCCACCATCACCAGATCTCAATCCAATAGAGCACATTTAAGATGTGATGGAATGGGAGATTAACATGGATGTGCAGCCGAGAATTCTGCAGCAACTGCGTGATGCTATTATGTCAATATGGACCAAAATCTCTATGTAAAGTTTCCAGTACCTTGTTAAATATATACCATGAATGCATATATATATATATATATATATATATATATATATATATATATATATATATATATATATATATATATATATATATAGTTGAAGTCAGAATTATTAGCCCCCCTTTGATTTTTTTTATTATCTTTTTAAAATATTTCCCAAATTAAGTTTAACAGAGCAAGGAAACTTCCACAGTATGTCTGATAATATATTTTCTTCTGGTGAAAGTCTTATTAGCCCCTTTAAGGTAACTTTTCATCGTTACACAATAACTTGCTTAATTACCCTAACCTGCCTAGTTAACCTACTTAACTTAGATAAGCCTTTAAATGTCACTTTAAGCTGTTTAAAGTGTCTTGAAAAATATCTAGTCAAATATTATTTACTGTCATCATGACAAGGATAAAATAAATCAGCTATTAGAAATGAGTTATTAAAACTATTATGTTCAGAAATGTGTTGAAAAAATCTGCTCTCTGTAAAACAGAAATTGGGGAAAAAAATAAACAGGGGCGCTAATAATTCAGGGGGGCTAAAAATTCTGACTTCAACTATATATATATATATATATATATATATATATATATATATATATATATATATATATATATATATATATATATATATGAATAAGGTGGCGGTTCATTCTGCTGTGGCGACCCCAGATTATAAAGGACTAAGCCAAAAAGGAAATTCATTATTTTTCCCTAAACATATTATTAAACATTTTTGGACTTTGATCTTATTTTTTTCTGTTTTGTTTTTTTGTTAGATTAGTTCTAATTTTGGGGACTGGCTAATCTAATGTATATGCACAAATACATTATTGTAAAGAATCTTATAAAATATATTAATTTAAATGAGGAGTGAGGGCTGCACTCAATTATACTGATATAGTCATATAACAATAATAATACTAATAATAATGTAATTGAATAGTTTACATACATATACTGTATAATAATGTTTCAATATAACTTCTATACAGTCACAGAGTCTAAAGAAACTTACAGTCTAAGGTCAGTACCTATTTTCAACACAGTTAATATCTGCTGCTGTGGTTTCTTCTTGTGTCCTACCTTGTGGCCTGCTGCAGAAAGTTATTTCTATCAGTTTCACAGAAAGTTTAGAGTTGACAGAGAGGGTTTAAAATACCCACTAACCTGGCAAACATGGGCTGAGATAGACCATGGTGGCAAACACATATGACAAAATGGCTAATTACACATTTAGTGTTGTAGCTACAAAAGCTCTCATCAAAGAGAACAACGCAGACACTAAACTACCTTGAAGTTATGAACACATAAACAATACAGTAGTGGTTTCCCTATACCGTTACATCGGGGGACATAAGCAATATAATTAGTTTTAATTGGCTGATAACAACATCTAGAAAATGATTCTGGGATAATGACAGCAGTTTGTGCAGCTTCTCAATTAACTACAGCTACGTATAGTTAGTGACATTTTTATGTGATATTTTTTTTTTAATCCTTCTGCTGGATTATTTCACAGTCGTGTGTTTATTACTCACACTCAATTAATGAAAGCAGCTAAATCACCAGTTTGTAATGCAAAGCTAAAAATGCCAGGATATTTTAACCCAAATTGGGTAAATATGGACTAACCCATAGGTGTCAAACTCAGTTCCAAAAGGGCCACATCTCTGCACAGTTTAGTTCCAACCCTAATTAAACACACCTGATCAAACTAATTGAGTCCTTCAGGCTTGTTTGAAACCTACAGGTAAGTGTGTTGGAGCAGGGTTGGAACTAAACTGTGCAGGGCTTCGGCCCTCCAGGAATTGAGTTTGACACCCCTGGACTAACCCAAACATTGGGTTAAATTTAGTCCTATTAATTTAATCTAAAACAAAGCCTAATGATACTTTTTCTTTAAAGGCACCTTTCTGGCAACTCAAGGACACCGTAAAACAAGCAATAAAACAACAAGAGAAATAATATAAAAGTATACACAACAAAAGTGTAGATACAAATAACCCAGCAGTTGGGTTAGTCCCTTTTACACATTAAATTGGATTGAAACAACCGCAATTTTAACAACCCCAATGGGTTGAAATAACGAGTCCCAATTTGCATACTTATACTACACTTTGAAAGTATGTACTTTTTTGTGAAGGAAAAGTATATACTTTTGAAAGTGTAATAAGCTGCGTCACAAATTGCATACTTATGCACTATTCTACGCCATTTTGTAGTATAAATAGTGTAAGTAGTGTGTTTACACTGAAAACTCTATAAATAGTGAGTGCACTCATTTAGCCACTAAAATGAAGTGTGTAGTGATGGACACTTCACGCACTCAACAACCGCAGTTTTGCTTACGTAGCGGAAGGGGTGGAGCCAGGCACGTGCACACATAGGGCTCAACCTCCGTCCCGCACTTCAGTAGGTGCGCGACAACACCGCTCTTTAGTACGCGCGCTCAACCCACCCCCTCCCCCACCCACTTTACAGTACACGCGCGACAACACAGCCGATCAGAACGCGCGCGACAACACAACAGATCAGAACTCGCGACAACACAGCTGATCAGAACGTACGCGACAACAACACGTCCCGGGATTATAGCGCCTCCCGATTGTAAATGCGGCAATACTTACGGCAGGTATTATTTGATAATTCGGCCGTTTATTTCACTGATTTGGCAACCGTCAAACGTCATTAGGGAGACGGTTTGAATTTCCGCTCAGTAAAAAATACATTAGTGTGCCATTTGGGATGACACTACATACATATACTATCCTGTTGAGTGTGTAAGTGCATAACTACATATTGCATGAGTGCATAGTGTATAGTGTGCCATTTGGAATGCAGCTATAGAAGAGTATGTAAGCATTGGGACATACAGTACTACTTCCTCATTAACAGATC